GTGATGTTCTGCGGGCAGACTTGGCCTGTCATGTGGTGTGTAACATGCTCTGAATATGCCCCGCTCTGTGTATGTGCGTGCGTCTTTCTCTCATCCTCTTGGGCACGTCCCTGGCGCTGGTGAATACACCAACCACCAGAATCTACTGTTTATCTACCTTGTGTGTGTTCTTGTTGAGTGCAGGTTGCTTCCGCCCCGTGGGGTTCGAGTTGCCGTCGAAGGCACCGCCTGCCACATCGTCGGCTTACCGAACATGTTGTCTAACCGAACCGACGAAAATTCCGAGCTAGGATAAGATTGTACTCCTTCCTTTCAGTACGCGAACAATGTGGCACGCTTCGGGAGGGAGGGCAGCCATTATTGGAGACAAAGATAACACCGCCGTTCATCCTCGCGCGACGCCGTAGCAGGAGGGGCGGTGCCGTCCACCTTGCCCGCCGCGCACGTTTCGTGGCCGTTCAAAAATGTCGAACAGAAAATGTAGCCAGTATGGTTCAGGGCGGGAGGGGGGAACTCGGTGGCCGCTTTGTGCTACAACACCATGCGCAAAAACCGAGGAACTCCGGGGGGTGGTCCAAACTCCACTCCCCGCTCTGCCCCGAACAATAATTTACCGCGCGCAAGACGGAGCCCAGTCATTGTGTAATTTTCTACCGCAACCGTTTTTATTTTTTCACCGTGACGCACTCGGTATGGCTGACAAACCAACAACCCCCTGTTCGAACAGGACGCGGGTGGCGTGGCCGGACGGCTCGGAGCCTGGGGAGGGCCCCGCCCAGCAGCAGCACCAGCTAGGGGCAGCGGCAACCTCCGGCGGCGGTCGCCCCGGCATGGCCGGCGGGGTCGGCATCGAGCGAGGCTTCTCACCCCCCGACCGTGCGAGGACCTTCGAACACACCACCGCCGTTGGTGGTGGTGGTGGACTGGGTGGCGTCGCGCTGGAGGGAGGGGCGGCGGGCCTTCCTCATCGGCTCGAAGCCGGCAACCCGGACGTGAGAAATCAGCGCGCGACGGCGGCGGCGGCTTTTATGGCCTGCTACTGAATAGTGTTCATTCCCACCGCCGATAGTTCGGTTTGAAAATATTCATGCTTTCAAAGAAAGATTACCCGTTCGAGATAGCGGGGGTAGTTTGTGACGCCCACCCCGTCGGCTACTCCTTCTGGTGGCCAGCGGGTTGTTGACGTTGCCAACAGTAGGTGCGTACGCCTGTGGATCCGTGGAAACATGGTGTCTCCTGTAGCGGTTTTGTATCCGTCGAGTCAATCACTGCCGTCGCCCCTGCACACTCCCGTCTAAAAGGCTCCCCATGTTGATAAAAACGCCCGGGCTTTCGCTGGTCCATTTGGGCTATCTAACGCGCTGATGTTTGGCGCATGTAATCTGTTCTAAATAAAACAACGAGACTGTTCTCAATAAGACAACGAGACCAAAACCTTCACCGACAACAACTTCATACGAGAAAAATTCACAGTGTCTATTCTACGCCTCTATGTACGACGCGTACACATCACGCTCATTCCTGTCGTTCGTTAGGCGCAGTACGCCAGGTTTTCGACGCAAGCAAGACAGAACTGCTACTGTCGTGCGTATATTTTCCCGCGGAAACGTCGAATGAACATGTCCGCTGCTGCAGAGCTACATGCTCGTGATTCCGTGGGCTCGCTCACTGCCGGCGCCGCTACTCGCCTGATGTAATAGACCTCCCCATGTCCAGAAAATGTCCACTCAAGGTGTGTCCGTCCGCTCGAGCTTACGCTTGGGCTTTGCGTCTCTCACAGCTCGGCGACACGAAATACTTCCCATCACTTTTCGACGGCTGTGGTTTTAATCTCGAACGGCTTGCCTTTCGTCGATCTTGCTTCCATGAGTTTTTTTGTTTCATCAGTATGACCCAACGAGTCCATCTCTACGAATCCATCGCTATCCACGTATTTTTCGAACGAACCTGGAATTTGATTTTGGAGCTGTCGACGGTTTGTGTGAAGTCCAGGCAGGTGACGTTGCCTACTGTACGTGTATACTGTTCCGTAATTCGAGAAGCAACAGCTGTGTGGGAGAAACCCCCTACGCTTCTGATAAGTACCACGTGAATACACAACGATTGCTCCCTTGGCTGGCCAGACGGCCAGGGGTCATAACGTCCAGCATGTCCCTCGTCTTTTTCTGGCAGTGCTCGCTCAACGCGGGGAAGCTTGCAGGAGTTTCGCGGTCGGAGCTTGCTCTTTGCGGGCAGTTCGTATGATACACAATCCCTTCGACTTGTGGTGTGCATATTTTCTTCATAGAAGAGAAAAATCCATTAAACAATGCTTCAAAATAGTTCACAGTCTCGAACGGGTAGTCTGTCATTGATCGTATGCGGTACTGAACTTTACTTTCTGGAATTTGAAAAAACCGTCCCCGCGAACTTGAGAGTCATCGCGCGCCTACGTTTCGAAAGATTCTGATCTAGTCACAACCAAGAAGGTGGGTGCGAGAACCTTCTAGTGATACCCATGCACGCAACAAAAATCGGAAGAAAGGCTCTCGACGGATTCAATATTTCGTGTGACATTGGCGGCACACTCGCGGTTGTGAGAAAGTCGACGCTGATCTCGGGTGTCATCGCTCTATCACACTCTTTGTACGGTATGTGGGCGTGAGAGCGCACAGCGCCCACGAAGTTGTGCTATATAGGTCGTCCGCCCCCCCCCCCCCCCCCCCC